TACACATTTATGTGGTGGTAAAATGTACGTTTTAATGTGTGACGTTTTACCACAATGGTAAATTTAATTTAATGTGACGTTTTAGCACAATGTATGGTAAAGCATGAACTATTGATTGGCACATCATTGCATTATCACAGTAGCAGGCAATGTACCCACACTCCATTCAATGCCTTCAAAAGGGGCCATGCCCATTTTTCTGTGCGTAAAAGTGCTAATTCAAACCATACAGTATGAATGAGCTGTCTGTACACAGTGTGCCTGGATGCCTATTAATGCAATGCATACTGTGAATAGGACATATATGGTTATATGGATCTATTAAAAGATGAAAAGTATATTTAACAACATATAAAATCCTAAAATGTATCTCTCCTTTCTCTTCTTCCTTAATCTAGGTGTCTCCTGGGCTTTGCTGGCCAGCACCCTTCTTGCATATTTCTTCATGAAGTCCTTCTGAAGAACTGACAGCAATTCCCTCTGCTGAGTTGACTATGATTGGACTAGGTCACAGGCTTTCTTATAATTGAAGATTTCATCATAGAAACAACATTTAATTTATTTTTCTCTTTTCCACTGGACTGCAATCTATATATGACAAGACCAAGGTAGACTCTAAATGGAACAAACATCTTCTGATGTCATTTTACCATTTTGGACCAAACCAGGCAAATTTCTCTTTTATCTTTCTTTTGATTAGGCTTGTCGTCTGAGGATACCATATTTTTCTCTTAATGACCACCACTTAAAACGATAAGTGGCACATTTATGCAAACTGCTTACTGTATCATATAAATATATTTGTAGCATGTACAATATTGGTTTGGAGTGTTTATTGTATAAATAAAATGATAGCACGTCTGGCTGAAAATTACAGTGGCTTGTGTGGCACATTATTAATAGTAACTCATTTGGTGTTGTTTTCAAACAAATTGTGAACTTTGAAGGTAGTATACTTTATAAAGCATAGCAAAGTATAGATGAGCAAAGATTTAAGAAGTCAAATTTAATAGTCCCAGAATTTTTTTTTTTTTTAATTATTCAAGTTTTATTGATTTTTAAAAAGAGAATTTTAAGTACACAATAGTAAGTTAAGGCACAAGAAGTACAGCTGACCATGTCATATATAGGTAACATCGATGGTATAATGTCACTGTGCCAAGACATGAGATGCGGAAATAGTCGCTCTAGTGTCATTGTGAATGGGTAGAGCAAGACAAGAAATAGGGAATAAGAAGCATAGAGAAGGAAAGTGTAAAAAGTATAAAGAGGAGT